AACAGCAAAATAAGATAACATAAGATATTTTCGTAAATTAAAGAAAAGGGTAAACAGGCGAGACAGGCAGTACAAGTACAAGTGTAGCCATCTATGTGTAAAAACAATTAAACAAGTAAACTCACAGTGGGCATGTAACATATATGTGACACCCAGTGCGAATGGGTTAACATGTATAATTTTCCCCCTTTTTCCCCCGCTTCCATCATCTCTATTTTTCCTTTGTGACGAAGCCCTTTTGGAGCTACCTTTCTGGGAATAATTAATGATAAAAAATGAATTGTGGGCGAGGCACTGACATTCCCGACATCTATGGATTCTTTTTTTGATTGTAAAGAAATAGAATAAAAGAAAAGGAAATATAGGTGATCTTAGATATGTTACAGGAAATATATCAGTAGTATAAGAAGTATATAGTCTATTAAGAAAAAGTTAAAGATGATTGTCTTGGACAAAAAAAAAAGATAAAGTATTTAACAAGTGTTGTAGTTACAGAAAAAATATAGTATTGAATAGATATGTCAGAAGAGGTGTAAGACAGAGTAGAGTATATACAAGTGTAGATTGCAATTTAAGATATAAGAATATGATAAGCATATAAAAATGTTTTGAAACAAAAGTAAAAGTGTGTACCCAAGTAAAAAAGAAAAGAAAAGAAAAAAAAATTTCCTTCTTCTTTTTCCATATCTAAAATGTAGTATAAATATTGGGAATGAAGAAAGATAGTGGATAGGGTAAAGTTGAGCTCATGGACCATATTATTTATAAAATGCATGGGAAGGATATAAAGAACAGAGTGGCAATTTGGTTCCTCCACAGAAGCAAGAGACCTACACACCCCGCTTGCTGTCCATAGACATTAAGGGGAATCTCGGAAGTCTACCTGTTGATGGGTCTCTGTACAGCCCCCAGCGTCATGATCTCTCGGTAAATGAGGCATCGTGGCATGGCCATGTCGAGCTCATAAAACAGTTGCCGGAGGAGAAGAATGAGTACCTGATGGACTTGGAGATAGAGGATTCACGTTATTTTACCCAGAGGGATGAAGACAAGGATATCTGCATGGGTTAGTTGGCTGGATATTGGCTGGTTTAGTTTGTTTTAGTATGTAGTCTATATACTGTATTTGAGAGTGTGTGAAGAGGGGATATGAGTGAGTTAATGTGTGCATTGTGTATGAGGGAATAGTAGTTTGATATAGGCATGGGTTGTGAGAATATTCAAGTTTGTGAAAAGAAATTTTACTTTTTGAGCCTCTTTATTTAAAATATATCATACCACAGATGATGTCACCAATGAACATGGAGGCAAAAGCAGCAGTCCCCCAGCATCACAGAAGATTTATGACCTTTCCAAGTCCGTCAGAGTCTGGTCAGATTTCCTCCGTCCCCACCTTCACCCAAACTCCTTATATCTCTTAGATGAAATGCTTCTTCAGAGCGGAAGAGCAGTTGTTGAGGGGAGTCAGAGTAACTACGGTTTCTTAGCAGGAGCATCTGTTTACCAAAGGGAAGATGTTGAAGATGGAATTACTGATAGATTAAGGTTACTGGCAGAGTCTTGTGGCAGTTTACAGGTAATTTAACTCTAAGTTTGTTCATGTAGATCATTTCAGAGTAGAATATATACACTGATAGTTGTAGATTAGATCAATTAATAAGCTGTGTATCTCCCTGCTTCTGTTAAAGCTCAAGAAAGTAAATTTTGTTGAATGTATTTTAAATCATAATTGAAATTGGATTGCAGGGTTTCCAGATATTAACAGATGTTCATAATGCAATGGGAGGAGTGAGTCAGGGGGTTCTGCAGCACCTAGAAGACGAATACAGCACAAAGGACTCCATATCCTTTGGCATAACTCCGCCACACCTTAATCCACAGACTCCACAGGCAAGAGCCGTGATACAAGCTACCATCGCACAGGTGAGGTCCACTGCTAGATTAAGTTGTCCATAGAGTATTGTCATTTGTTTATAGGTTAATGGTGATGGCAATGTCCATTCTGATTTAGTTAAAACTTATTCTACTGGTATCATTCAATAACTTAAAAATAAATAAAATAAAATGATAATGATAATAACATTAATCTGGTAAAGAGTTCAGACAGAAAATGCCCATGAAATATGCCTATTGACTGTAGAAGAATGTGGGACCCCTTGTGTTAAATACAGGACAAAGACCTTAATAACTAATATTTTAAAAATAATAATAATAATAATAATTAGGATAATAATAACAACAATGTAATAATTAAGGACCTTAATTACTGCAAAAATTAATTACTATTATGTCTGATGTGGATTAGTAAATAAAAGGAAGAAAGAGAGAGAGATACTGAATTAATGGATAATAAAAATGCTGAAGCAGATTGCTTAGGAAAGGAGCTAGGAACAATTGACTATGTAATGTTATCTACTATGTCAAAAGCAAAGGGAGTAGGGGCGAGCATATTCTAATGTCATTGTTATATGGCTTTAGGGGCACTTGCCAAAACTATTTA